TTGCAGGGAGCTCGGGTTCTCAGTAGGGAGCTCGGGTTCTTAATAGGGAGCTCGCTCTTAATAGGGAGCTCGGACTCTTAATAGGGAGCTCGCTCTTAATAGGGAGCTCGGACTCCCAGTAGGGAGCTCGGGTTCTTAATAGGGAGCTCGGACTCTTAATAGGGAGCTCGCTCTTAATAGGGAGCTCGGACTCCCAGTAGGGAGCTCGGGCTCCTAGTAGAGCGGTCTGGAATTGCTTTCGGTGTTTGCTTCGGGCGCTCTACTGTCCTGAGTTGCTTGTTTTTTGCCACGTGTCGGGTGATTGCGAGGTCGGGCCAAATTCCCCTTCATCAGACGGGTTGAATTAAGTTAAAGTAGATTTGAGTTGAACCCAACCCATTTAATTTTATACAACTAGGTCATTAATGGATTGACGGGTTAAATGGATTGGGTTGAAACTCAACTCAAACCCAACCCAACCTAGCTCACCCAATTGCCACCGCTAATCAAGACCAGTTTAAAAGTGTTGGGCCCAAGTCTGATGTAGGGCAGGCCGGGTTGGAAATGATCACCTCTAACTGAGCAGTTAGTTCTTGGATCTTGATCCAAACAGTCCCATTGAATCCTCCGTTTATAGTTTAATTAATCCAGATTACTGACTCATTCATAATAAAACAGAATATTCAATTCATCACTGTCATATAATAATGACAAACTAATCACAAGACAAGATCAACTTAATCAAGAATTAAGGACTTTAGTGGAAATCACTCATATTATTCTATACTCTCTTTGGTGACCTTGACCTTTACCGACCCAAGAATCGGGCGACTATGCAAAATGACAATGGCATCTGTTTCAGATTTCAAATTTTTTATTCCACAACCCATCAGTCATCGGCCACCCACTTAAACTCCCAACTGCTCGCTGATGTACGGTGGATGTCGTACACGGGAGGGCCCCACAGATCTAATTCTCCCGAGATGATGAGTGGGGAAAAGATGGGTAGTTTTTGTTTTTCACTTTTGTTAGGGTTCACGGGTTGAGCTCTGTTTGGGAATGTAATTAATGAATGGTCCTTGGGCTCGTTCTTTGTGGCCCGGCCTGACTAGGGGTCACGGGAGCTACATATGTATCAATGTATGAGATGCTGACAAAAACACACTACCTCTGGTAACTAGCTCATGCTTCCACGTCATGCTTGAAAGAAAGCCTGAACCACAAAAATATCTCTTTTCTGCTAACCCTGTCCACAAAAGAGATTCGTGCAGCCACATCGCTCTCAAGTCTCAATCCATTTGCCCCTCTTATTTGAAGAAAATTATCTATTTCTTCAACCCAGGTCTAAAACGGATCGGGTCGGGTCGATTTGAAATTTAGGGTGCAAATCGGATAGGGTTAACCGGTTAGGTCGGGTTGATGTCAATCCTAAACCAATTACCCTACTAATTATATAGGTATTTATATAGATGCTTAGTTGCAATAACATATACATATACATTAATACATACATGCATAAATTTATATTATATTATATTTATACATGCAAATACTATAGAATTAAGTCAGGTTCTGATTGGGTCGGTTGGTCAAGACCTCAGCCCTAACGCAATCCAAACTTTAGTTGGATTTATACTTTTCAACCCAATTCAACCTTATTTTTTTTTGGACTGAATTTAAATTGAATTTATGCTAATCCGACCCAAGTTGTAATTCTATTAAAAATGTTTAATTCCACCTCGAGAATGGGCTACCCCCGTTGTGTAGCCACTAGGGTTCACGGGGTTAAAGGAGAGGGATGGGCTACCCCCTTTCTGTAGTCCCATGAAGCAAAAAAAAAAAAAAAAAAACATAGATCCAATTGAATCAGATATAACTACATTTAAATTTGATTCGTTAATATTCGAATTTGAATTAGATATTATTGATTGAATTAAGCAATGCCTCTATTCAAATTCCACACCTATTAATTTCATAATCTCACGCACAACTTAATTATAAGATAATCTATATAGTTGATCATGAACGGAAATTTGTTATATTTTAAGCATAAAATAAATTGAAAAGAAATAGTACAAAATAATAATGGATAAAATAAAACACCAATGTGTAATTATTGAATATGTCAAATAAATGTGAAATATTAGAGGATAAAATGTATCAACTATGAATTTATTTAATAATAGAAAATAATTTTTATTAACAAAAAAAGGTAATAAAAATAATTTAAAATCAATTACCTTTTATCTTCAATTATTTTTATCAACAAAAATAATGGAAATGGTTTAATTTAAAAAATTATCATAATATTATCTTCAAATTTTAAAAATCATTAAAAATAATTTAAAAATAAAAAAATTAACTATGACGAATTGGGGCTATTATCCCACCATGGATGGGGTGGATAGTCCCCATTCACAAGTTTTACCTAATGGAAAGTCCTTGTCCATGATATATTGTGGACGGGAACTGTGTCCACGATGAACCAAACGGTCACATGTGTCATGAATGGGACCGTTTTAATCCCATCCACAAGATATTCACACAATCGAACACGACCTTAATATCTTATCTTACATAGCATATCCCAACACCCTACCAACATGATCTAAAACCACATATCTCACCATGAAATTAGGACCTAAAAGTAGGACCTCTCATGTATGAGATGTGTGACCTGATTTCCTGCCTCATACTGCTCTATCAGACCTAATTGAGTTATAATGAATTTAGCCTTCAAGGTTTCTCTAAAAAATGAATACGGATATAAAATACTATTACTAAATTTATTAAAAATGATCAAAACATGATATGGTAATTAATAAAATAAATTAAAAATTTATTTGATATTGCATTTCATGGATAGAATGACTATAACTTTTGTGAGACTTTAACCTATGATTCTTTTTTAAGAATACAACGTTTAAACCAACTTTAAATGTCTAAATATTATATAATTAGATTGGATCTATCATATCAACCAGATTTGCATTATTGCATAGATCCACAAATCATAAACAGATCAATTTTGAATTGGATTCAAATCGAATTTGAACAGATACCATTTGCAGCCCTAATTTTACCTGCATTTTCCTAAGAAGAATGGTTTGGGCCTTGTTTGATTGCAATGCAATTTCATTTGCTTTAGAGCAAAAGTATGGGATTGCAAATGAGTTGAGTTCAAATTTTGGTTTAATTTTGTTATAAGTTTCACTTTGTTTTGTTTATTTAGAATAAAGACAAGGAAAAATAGAACCTGAAATAAAATAAAATAAATAAGACTTGAAGCAAAAATTAACCAAAATTTATAATCATCTCATTTGCACTCCCATGCATTTGCATTAGTGCAAATGGAAGTGCACTGCAAACAAACAGAAGGAATTTGAGCTGAATATAGTTGAAATTCTTGAAATCCAGATACTTGATTTACATCATAAAGCTCTCTTTATCTTCCTACAACCACAAGAGATGTTCTCTGGTTTATCAAAAGATGGAATGTCAGCAAATCATCAATCCTTGTAATTTCTACATGTTCAGATATGGAGGTATCACTGTATGAGGTTAGTTTTTTGTCTTCAAAATGACCCGGCCCGACCCAAATCAGTTTGAGAGGACTGAATAAGAGAATTGCAGTAGGAATTTGGTAGTTTTAAGTAATCGTTAGGGGCATTTACAGAGATAGATCTCCTCCCAACGTCAGCCGCTAATCTGGTTTGATGTGATTTCAGCCTGCATCCAGAGGAGACTCCATCCTTAGCCATTTGCATGTACCCAAAACGCTACGGCTGTACTGCTGCTTTTCTTGAAATCTCTCTCTCTCTCTCTCTCTCTCTCTCTCTCTCTCTCTCTCTCTCCTCTCTCTCTCTCTCTCTCTCTCAAAATGAGTTTTCCTTGAAACAAATGGCAAGAAGTAGAGCACGTGAACCATGAAACAGAGGATGCTATGGTCATTGCAGCTGCTTAACCTCTTTAAGTTTTGGACCGTCACAAGATTAAATTAATTAAACCAAAGCTTTGAATCAAAACAACTGATGAACTAATCCACAGAGAGGAAGACACTACAACTAGAAGTACAATCCGAGCTTCAGGAGTGAAGAGTGCACAGAGTGTGAGAGAATAGAGACAGAGCTTCAATGAGGAAACAGGGTTGTGAGATAGAAGCAGTAGGCATCAACTACAAGATCTACACACATAAAAGGAGATACACATTTAAGATCTTCAACAGATATGAGCAACAACCAGAGAAAGGAGATGATGAAGAGTGCGATGAACTAACGAAGGCCAAGCAAACAAGACCCAGATGCCGGCATGTTCTGAAGGACGTAAACTGCAGAGCCAAGCCGTGGGAGGTTCTAGCTGTCGTCGGCCCAAGTGGTGCCGGCAAGTCTACACTCCTAGAGATCCTCGCCGGCAAGCTCACGCCTCAGACGTCTTCAATCTTTGTCAATCAGAAACCCTTCGACAGAGCTCGTTTCAAGAAGATATCGGGCTATGTAACACAGAAGGATACTCTCTTTCCCCTCCTCACCGTGGAGGAGACACTCATGTTCAGTGCCAAGCTCCGGCTGAGGCTGCCGCATTCACATCTGAGCTCCAGAGTGAAGTCGTTGATGGAGGAGCTGGGTCTGAGCCATGTTGCAGGGGCCCGGATAGGCGATGACCGGCTTCGTGGCATCTCGGGTGGTGAGAAGCGACGTGTGTCGATCGGCGTAGATGTGATACATGACCCCAAAGTGTTGATCCTTGATGAGCCCACGTCGGGGCTCGACAGCACGTCGGCTCTGCAAATCATTGATATGCTGAAGGCCATGGCTGAGACGAGGGGAAGGACGATTATTCTGAGTATTCATCAGCCCGGGTTGCGAATTGTGAAGCTCTTCAATTCGGTTCTTTTGCTGGCTGATGGCTCTGTTTTGCACCATGGCACTGTTGATCAGCTGAGCATATATCTGAGGTCCATGGGTCTGCAACTCCCTCTTCAGGTTAATGTGGTTGAATTTGCTATAGATGCCATTGAAGCCCTTCAGCAGCAACCAGAAGTACAGCAAGAACTACCACAATTGCCACAACCACCGACAACGCAACAGCACAAGAGAGGGGATGAAGGTGAGGTTAGAAGCGGTAAGTTCACTCTGCAACAGCTCTTTCAACAATCTAAGGTAGCTGATGAAGAAATCGTTAATGGTGGGACTGATCTTCCCTGCGGTTTTGCTAATTCTAGACTAGGAGAAACCATTCTTCTCACCCATAGGTTCTCAAAGAACATTTTTCGAAGCAAGGAGATCTTTGCTTGTAGGACAATTCAGATGTTGATTGCAGGGTTGGTTTTGGGTTCAATCTTTTACAAGCTGAAGGATGATTTGATGGGTGCTGAAGAAAGAGTAGGTCTGTTTGCATTTACTCTGACATTTCTGTTATCTTCCACCACGGAAGCTCTCCCCATTTTCCTGCAAGAGAGGGAGATTCTGATGAGGGAGAGCTCCTCTGGTAGCTATAGGATCTCATCTTACGCCATTGCTAATGGGCTTGTCTTCCTGCCTTTTCTGCTCATCCTGGCCCTGTTATTTTCCATTCCATTATACTGGCTTGTGGGTCTCAACCAGAATTTCACAGCATTCATGTATTTCCTGGTACTGATTTGGTTGATTCTCTACACAGCGAATTCAGTTGTGGTTTGTTTCAGCGCCCTTGTGCCAAACTTCATCATTGGGAACTCAGTGGTGTCGGGCGTGATGGGATCGTTCTTTCTGTTTTCTGGGTATTTCATATCCAAGGATGAGATTCCAAATTTCTGGATTTTCATGCATTATATATCACTTTTCAAGTATCCTTTTGAAGGGTTCCTGCTAAATGAGTTCTCTGGTTCAGGGAAGTGCCTGGATTATATGTTTGGTACTTGTGTGATTAGTGGAGAGGATGTTCTTAGAGAAGAAGGGTTTGAAGAGGACAGTAAATGGAGGAACATCATGCTCATTATTTGCTTCATCTTGGTTTACAGATTCATTGCTTATGTCATCCTCAGATGCAGGTGCTCCCGGAGGAGTCTCAAGGAAAGACTGGTTTGATCTCTCTCTCTCTCTCTCTCTGTAAATATTTCTGTCCACAAGTTTGGAATTTACACAGAGCAGTTTGGAAAACAAGTCTCATATCAATAAACAGGAAATGTAATAAGAACAGAATTACAAACATTTGTTTAATCCTAACATCTCTCTTATCATTTTTCTTGTGAAACAAAGACAAATGAAGTTTTGATACATCATATCAGAGCATTGGCGATCAACTGTGCATGAGAATTGTTTTATGATGCTTTTGTCTTCCATTGGATATATTTTTGACAGGATGAATTATCTTCTGGGTTAAATTCTGACTAGTGGCAGAGAAATAGGAAGCTGAGGCAGTAAAATATACCCTTTAGGAGAGCCATCAATTTTTAGCCCTTGTCTGCATGGCTGCACATGAAGATAGAAGAGCTGCATACAGCCTAAAAGTGAGACATACATGTTCAGGAATGCTAGAGAACAACGAGTTCATGCAACTCTTTGATTCTTCGCCCTACAGATATCGGTACCCATGAATATATAAACTACAAGAGAAAAGTTGGATGTGTCCTCATGGGTCTCTACCTTGTCTGTATGGAAAAGAAAAAGAAATAGTTACATAAAATCCTCCACTCCTTGCCAAGCATTCCCCCGTTTTAGGCAGCAAGAACAGTACAAGTAATTTCTTGAAAGTAGTACGAAACTGAGCTGTCAATGGTCTAGGTTTTGGTGCGATCCTATCCTGTCTGATTTAAATCCATGAACAGGCAACCCGAATCCAATCCAAACCCATTAAAGATAGGATCCAGTCCAATCTATTTTAAAGCAAATGGGTCGGATTGGTCACTATATATCCAATCCAGACCCGATTAACTATAAAAACAATCATGGATAACTACAGAAAATAACATAAAATACAAATATAACAAATCTTAACAAGGACCATACATGCAACAACTGCCTGGTCAATCTCCGGGGACACCTTAGTACAATGCTACAGGCGGTCCAATTTGATAATATCCACTCCGATCCCATAATCTAATGGCCACCTACCTAATACTGGTTCAATCTGATTTGTTAAGCTTAATGGACATCCAAATACAATTCTATCGAATTGGATCAACTCAAACCCGGTCCATCGACAGCCCTACTGCCAATCCATAAAGAGCGATGGAGCAGACAGCTTGTTAGTTAGCAGGTTTGGTCAAGTGTCTCCATCAAAAAGACACCAAGTGGCCAACTCAACCACTCAGTCATTTCCAGAAATCAGACATTCAATCTATATAAACGAAGGGAAATTTTGACTGAAACCCACCTTATAAATTTTAACCCAATTATAATATTTCAAAACTTATATCTCCACCTCAAACACATCCCCTCTTGAATTGATATCAGTACCTCACTTTTCGACCATAGAAAAACGTAAAAGTTTATGCAGAGTAAATGAAAATTCCTTGTAAAAGAACTCGAAACCCAAGAACAATTATAAGGATTTTAATGCTGATTAAGAGAAGAAAAAATATGAAGCAAAAGAGAGGGAGGGGGGTATAAGACGAGAAAGCACTATTGGAAAGAACTACTTCGATTTGCTCATAAATCCAGAGTTCACTGTTGCTGAAAAGGTCTGGAGGTGGCTCCCTCAACCGGGGAAAACTACAAAGAAAAGTAGAAACTGTAATAATGCGTTTGGTTTGATAGAAAATAAGAAAGAAACGTATGATTGAAATTAAGTTCTTTATGAAATTCGTTAAACTTTTCATTCCTTCTTTCTGTTTCTCTCTTATTTTTCTGTCACAACAAACAAAACAAACATAGCTCAAGTGTAGTAGCATGGTTTGGAGAAGAATCGTGCGACTATCAGCATTTGGACCCTCCCAACTTAAAAGTTGTACACGTGGCAAATTTATAATGGTTGTAATAAAATCCATCTTAAGGACCCACCTAAGAAACCCTACTAATAACCGAAAAGCAAACCCTATCAAGTGATCCTGAATTCCTGACCACAAAGGCACAAACAAGTAAACTTCGCCTCTTCTGTAGAACCATTTGTGGCTACCAGTCTTTTCTAATGCATCAACAAGAAATGAAAATATTTTATTTGGTCAATTAACCCTCTAACCACTCATTCATGTAGCCTGGCCGATTCTGTCATCCTCATTTAACTAGTAGACAAATGGGCAAAGGTGATATTATTTCATAATAAAAAAACTGTAAAAGAAGGGTAGATTAATGCAAAGAACAACAAATGTTGAAGAAGACGAAGAAAGAGACAAAGAGAAAGAGGTCCTTATATAAGTAGTCCAACCTTCCAGGTTTTTGTTGTTTTCCCTTTGCATTTCTTGTTTTTATTTTTCAGATTTCCGTAGATGTACAATCACAAAATAAACAATAAATATATGGGTAATGATCAAATGGATCTCAAAACATGACGGCTTTCCTAGTATGTCATGATGTCAACCTTTCCTGGTGTTTTAGTAGAGGGACCACCAACTAGTATTTGGATTCCATGCAGAAATGCAGAAATAGGGATGGCAATGGAGTAGGGTTGTGGACGGTTTTGTATATTCTAGACCTTATAATTCGTATTCACCCTAAAACTCATAGCAGGTTAGATTTTGAGAATTCAAATCTTCTTCGTATGTCAAAATGCAAAACCTTCTTTGACCCTACCATCCCTGCATTTAAAGGTAGGGACAGATTGGGTGTAAAACCCGTATCTAACTTCTTATTATTTATTGTTATATATATGCAATAAATAAGTAAAATAACATAAATAAATAATAAAATTTCCAATTATTTGATTACAATATGTAGAAAACACATAAACTATCAATTATCCTTTACATAAAATTCAAAATATTATTAAATTCAATACTTAGTACATAAAGCTTATATGCTTTTCAACAATACGCGGGTTAGAGAGGGTTGGGTTTTGCCTAATAACATACCCTATCTGTACCCATACGGGTTGCAGAATCTCAAAACCCATACTTCAAACAAAAAAACCTATCCCGTTGGAGTGGTAGGGGTGGGTACTCACCAAGTAAGTTAGAAATTGCCATCTCTAATGGAATATGCAAATTTACTTTGTGGTTATCTCATCCTTAACAAGGTGGCACTGTTGTGTTGTGTCTTTAATTCTTGATGTGGCCCTCTCCATGTCTCAACTTGAATTTGTAGAGAAAAGGCCATTGCAAGAAAACTAATCTATAGCGGTGGATTTATTTGTCACTATTAAAAGTCACATTAGTAAAATAATTTGTGAATAATCTATTACTAAAATGCTAACCTTTAGCAATAGAAATGCAACAAATAGCGGTGAAAATATTTATGGCTAAAAACATGACAGTCATTAGTACATATGATATATTGACGTTTATAAATAGTGGCAATTACAATAATGACAAACATATATGATATAGTGGTGTTTATAAACGCCGTTACATGCAACGATTCATCAATTTAAAGTGGCAAAATATCTGTTGTTATAAACTAATTTGTGGCACATGTACTACATATAGTGACAATTATATCCGCTACTAAAAACATTTCTTAGCTTTATAACGGCAGATATACATGGTTTATAGTAGCGATTATAACCATTACTATATCAATTTCCATAGATCAATATATACTTTATGATATAGACTCGTAATTTGTAAAACCTGTAACACCCATTTATGCAAAATACCATATTTTTGTATTTTTAACTCAAAATTACAAACAATTCAACAAACAAAATATAATATGTTCATATATATCTAAACTTGAGAGTTTTACATATTAAACTAAAAAATGTAAAAACTATGACTTTTTCTTTAAATCATTGACCCATATGCCTATTGTTGTAGAGATCATAGTATGAAAATATACCTTAGTATCATTTAAAGAACCAATCCTCTTTGCTTTCTTTCTTAGTGGCACTTGTAGTTCATAAAATAATTTTTATTTATCAAATTTAAAACATCAAGAGTAATTTTAATTATAACATGCCTTATCCATACTTTTGTTAGACAGTGTATGCCCTTAGCTTCAATCAGCTTGATGTATATTATGTCATTTATTGTAAATGAATAAAATACATATTTGATTCATGTTATATTGGTGTGTTTCTGTGTAATACTTTTAAACTGGACACTTATGAGACTCATGTTAGTTTATAATCTTCACAGCCGTTGGATAGATCTGGGGAGATTTATCCTGTCAAGGCTAACACTAGTGTGCTGCCAAGTGGGTTGGGGTGGCTTGTCAGCTGCCAGGGTGAGACCTGAGGCACATGCAGTGTGGGTTTACTTGAAACCCTAAACCGGACCAAATTCTAGTATTGCCCTGTACCTTGGAGATAGATGGGCAAAACTAGAATATTACACTTGACCCCCAAACTCGATTATGGTACTACACTAGGTGTTGGATTGGACTGTATTTGATATGCCAATCAATGAGATCCTTAGAGGGAGTCAAAACCTAGGTATGTTGGGGCAGTCCGAGAATTCACCTCAGTGGGTGATCATAGTGACAGGATCAGCCCCTTTGTCGGACAAAGTAAATGATTGGGGAATGCACTCTCTCTGATGGAAACCTAAACTACTAGCAGTTGATTTCAAATTGTTGAGATTTGTTTTTGCACAATATGTTTATATAGAGATATACATATGTATTATGATTTCACAAAATGTTTGCAAAAAAGTTTTAATTCCCGGGATCCATGTGAGTAGAGAATGCAACGTTGTACCTTGTAGCCAAGGGAGATGTCCTCTCTTGTTGGACAATGTTTGATCATTATGAGCTGAGATGTTAAGTGTAAGACCATTTAGGGATAATAAACCTGATGAGCTAATCTTACATCTACCCACAGTCTTTGGGCCTTTATAAGATGGCTGGACCCAAGGACCATTTAGTGTAAATGTTGGGTCCATTAAGAGCCCATACTGATGAACTTAGGGGTTTATTGTATTCAACAATGTTGGGCCCATTAAGATAAGGGATAAGCCTTATCACTTAAAGAGTTTAGATCCAAATAAAGATTTGGATGAAGAAACTCCTAATCAGATTAGGAGATTAACTCTTTAAGGTCTATATAAAGGAGGAGGGCGAACTGGAGTAATACACACACTTTGATTGACTTTTCTACATCTAGTTCTCTCTCTCTCTCTGTTCTTGCCGCCCTATCCTGTTTGATCTCCACCTCTTAGAGTGATCAAGATTGGATCTTGATATTGTTTATTGGTGGAAGAAACAATCTTGAAACTGTGCTTACATCCCTACACAATTCTTGATGAAAAATTGGG